AAAGGACCAAAGGCAATGGAGGTCACTGCTGCTGCCTGTGAGCCTGCCACTGGGGCCCATCCTGAGTCCTCCCAAGCACTGCAGCAGCGTATGAGAAGCCAGGCGAAGGCTGTGACTTGCAACCCTCTCTCTGCACATCTGAATCCTTCTGATGTCAACTGCATGGCCACTGTCTTCCTTTCACAAACACTGAAGAGAAGGCTTGCTCTGCACCTGTCCCTGAGTGCTAAAGGAGGCGTCACTCTCAGAATAGCCTGAGAACAGAGGGGTCCTAATGTGGTGTACATATACATGCAGGCAAAATGCTCATCCAGATACTATTTTATTTTTTTATTTATTTTATTTATTTTTATTTTTTATTTTTGGTTTTTCGAGACAGGGTTTCTCTGTGGTTTTGGAGCCTGTCCTAGAACTAGCTCTTGTAGACCAGGCTGGTCTCGAACTCACAGAGATCTGCCTGCCTCTGCCTCCCAAGTGCTGGGATTAAAGGCGTGCGCCACCACCGCCTGACTCATATAAAATTTTAAAATCTAAAAAATTATCTATAAATGTAATGCAATTTCTAAAAAAAGTCACTGTCACTGACTTTCCTTCTAAAGTACAAAAAATTATAAAATTCATATAGATTGGCACACACTGAGAAAAATGTGTCCCACACAAATAAACAAGCAAAAACACAGGATATCCAAAACCAATACTGAACCAAAGTGACAACAGAAAAGTACATTATTCAGTTGTCATAGTAATCAAAGTAGCAGACTAGGAATGTAGCTCAGTTGGCAGAATGGTTACCTAGCATGCAGGAAGCTCTGGGTTCAATCCTACAATAGAATAACAACCTCTCTTTAGGAATGCTGGCTATGAAGTCCCCAGAGACCCCAAACCATACAGGTCATGTTATTGCTATGGGTTACCACCAGGACCAGAGAGTAAGACCCTATAACAGAAGACACCACATGTCTTGGTTTCATGATAGAGAGAAACCATACTCCAGCTTAGCTAGAGACTTCCTTTCTAACTATAGTGCTAAGCTGCAGGACTGTCAGGCAGCTGCAGGACTGTCAGGCAGCTGCAGGACTGTTGTGTCTTGGATGAAATGTCCCTCTGTAGTTTGGGTGTTTGAACACTTGTATTCTAGTTGATGGCTGGACTTGCTGGAGGAAGTATGCCACTGGAGGCAGGGTTTGATGTTGATTATTATTATTATTATTATTTTGTTTTTTAAATATTTATTTATTATGTATACAATATTCTGACTGTATGTCTGCAGGCCAGAAGAGGGCACCAGATCTTATTACAGATGGTTGTGAGCCACTATGTGGTTGCTGGGAACTGAACTCAGGACCTCTGGAAGAGCAGGCAATGCTCTTAACCGAGCCATCTCTCCAGCCCCTATTTTGTTGTTTTTGAGACAGACAGGGTCTCTATATGTAACAGCCCTGGCTGTCCTGGCACTTGCTCTGTAGAGCAGGCTGGCCTCAAACTCACAGAGATCTGCCTGCCTCTGCCTCCTGAGAGCTGGGATTAAAGGTGTACACCAACACCTAGCTTGGCTTTGATGTTTTAAAAGACTTCTGCCATTTCTAATTTGCCTCTTTTTTCCCTGCTTATAGTTTGAGATGCAAGTCCTCAGTTTTTTATTCTGCCATGCTGGCAGCATTTCCCTGCTGTCATGTGATGGCCTGTATCCCGCTAATACTACAAACTCCAAATAAGCCCTTCCTTCTGTAAATTGCCTCAATCATGGACTTTTATCATAGTAACTAAAACAAAGAGAAAAGTCAGCAGGCTGCTCTCCAACTTCAGACCTTTTCACGGCGTAGTAATGAAAGACCTAGATAAATCCAGACACCCCCCCCCCACCGCAGGAAAAAATAGAGCCAAAAATCTAAGCAGGGAGAGAAGAATCAGAAATCTAGGATTCAGGAACTGGCTGAAGATAAAGTTAGATTATAATCTTGAGTATAATCTTGAGAAACAGGGAGTTGCCCCCTTGTGATCATCACTGGTATTTTCGTAATTTTCTGTGACGTGCTCCCTACCCCTTTCAGATTACTGGGCTGTGGCTTCTTCCTTTAAAAACTCCTTCTCCCAGTTACTCGGGGTCGAACTCTTCCCCTGTGTGGGTTATGAGTCTCGGCCCCAGTGCACTGGTACCTGTCAATAAACCTCGTGTGATTGCAGCAAGGACAGTTTCTAGTGAGTTACATGGGGGGAGGGTCATGTTATCCCGAGGCTTGAGTGAGAGTCTCCCCACACTGGGGGTCTTTCAGTAACAACTCAACATGCTCACTGGTACAATAGTGGCAGCACTCTTTGGGGGTAACCAGATGATGTTGGATTAGATCTGATGCACACCCTGAAGGAGTAAGATCATTCCAGTTCTGTGGACCTGGTCAAAAGCCATTGGATGGGAGGTCACAGGACCTAAGGACACCTCCTACACTTCATTTTATTAAATGGACATGTTGTAAACTGTCTGACAAATTTGTTTACACTCACAGGTTCGTGCTGTCCTCAGCCTTGATCAAAGCAGCTTCTCTTTGCAGCACGACATCTAGTGAGAGACACTGTCAAGGTGCTGAGGATTAATGGGATACTGGTATCACTCCCTCCAAGGATCCTAGCATATCACAGAAGGGCCTGAAAGAATGTAAGCACCCAAATGGATGGTCATAACATGGTTGAAGTGCTCAGAACTCAAACTAGCTGCAGTTACCCAAAGAGAGTTTGACCAAGTGTGAGGTAGTTAACATTATAGATAGGGGAGGTACTTTTGTGGCCCATCCCACTCAGAGAAGCTCATGGCTGTGGGAGGAGAGGAAGCCATTGTCTTCAGTGATGCAGCCACTGGTGAGTTACCTATGCTCCAGTGGATAGCATTTCATAGTGCTCACAGGACAAGCCCTGGTTAAACCTAGTGGGTCTGAGTCACAAAGCAAATACAAAACAAAAAGACATGAACTGAGGATGAGGACCTGATGGAGGAAGGATGTGGGGACTGGTGGGGTAGGAAGAGGGAAAGAGGATGGAGGGTGAGTGTGACCAGAATATTATATTCATACATAAAACTGTCAAAGAATTAGTTGAAAAGCTAACAAAGAAAACTGGGTGTGGTGATATGTGTCTGATTCCAGCTCCTAGGTTGTGAAGAAAAGATAATCCTGAGCTACAAGAGACCTGGTTTCAAAAAGGGGGGGGGGGTGGCTGGAGAGATGGCTCAGAAGTTAAGAGCACTGGTTGTTCTTTCAGGGGTCCTGAGTTTAATTCACAGCAACCACATAGTGGCTCACAACCATCTGTAATGAGATCTGGTGCTCTTTTCTGGCCTGGAGGTATACATGCATATAGAACTGTATAGACAATAAATAAATAAATAAATAAAAAGGCAAGGAACCAGCATAAAAATAGATGCAGAGACAAATTAAATGGACAGAAAGGCACACACAAAGTTAACACACATGGTTAAGACACCCACAAGATTCCTTCCTTGAGGCTTTGTTATGGTAAGCACATTACAAAGAACAGCAGGCTGACCAGTCATAAAAATACTGCTTTCAGGCCACCAGCATGACATCGGATAAAGGTGCCAAGAACAAGCAGCAGAAAAGACAGTCCCACCAATAGACACTGCTGGCAAAACTGGATAAACTCATGTGAGAGAATTATGCTGAATTATACCCTCTAAACATATGCAGAAATCAACTCAAAATGAGCCAAAAAGACTAAGCAGGGCCTGATGTGCGGCTCAGGTGGCACAGTGCTCACCTAGCATGCATGCACGAAGCTCAAGGGCTTGATCTCTGGCACCGAATAAACTGGTTGTGGTGGTGCACACCCATGACCCTAACACTTGGAAGACAGAGGTACAAAGACTACAATCTCATAGTGGATTCCAGGCCATTCTGGGATACAGGAGTTCCTGTGAAGAAAGCAAAAGAAAGAGAGGGAGAATGGAAGAAAAAGAGGGGCAAGCTGAAATGTAAAACCTGAAATCTGCCAGGTTACTGATGGTGCACACCTTTAATCCCACTCGGGAGGCAAAGGCAGGCAGATCTCTGTGAGTTCCAGGCCAGCCTGGTCTACAGAATGAGTTCCAGGAGGGCCAAGACTACACAGAGAAACCCTGTCTCAAAAAAACAAAAACAAAACAACAACAACAGAACCCCTGAACCACTGAGCAGCAGGATGACATGGGGAAACACTTCAAGGCATTGGCGTGGAGCAGCAGGTCTTGGCCAGTGGGTCAGGAACCCTCTGGGGTCAAATGACCCTTCCACAGGGTTGCATTTTAGATGTCCTCAGTATCAGGTATATTTACATCACAACTCATAGCAGTAGCAAAATTACAGTTATGAAGTAGCAATGAAATGATTTTATGGTTGGGGTCACTACAACATGAGGAACTGTATTAAAGGGTCACAGCATTAGGAGGGTTGAGAACCTCTGCTCTGGACAGTGATTTCTTTCCTAAGAAGTCTTCTCAAAGACTTGGGCAAGTAAAAATACAATAAGTGTCTACCAAACTACAGAGGCAAGACAAAGACTGTGGAACCTGAAAAAGAGACCTGTAAACCATTCATGTGATAAGGGCTTAAATTTTGAAAACATATGATGATCATACAATGCTGAACACTAAAACCAAATTAATCCAAATTTTACAATGGGCTAAGGAATTCAAGAGACACTTCTCCAGAGAACACACAGTTGTGTGTGTAGCTCTGAGGCAGTGTTTGCACAGCACATACAAAACATACATTTGATTTCCAGTATGAAGGATCTGGAGGAGTAAAAGAAGGAGCTTGGGCACATGGTAATGGGCCAGAGACTATAGTGCCTGAAACCTCAGCACTTGAGGCACAAGCAGGGGACTAGGGGATTTTTTTCCTTCCTTCCTTCCTTCCTTCCTTCCTTCCTTCCTTCCTTCCTTCCTTCCTTCCTTCCCTCCCTTCCTCCCTCCCTCCCTTCCTCCCTCCCTCCCTCCCTTCTGCCTTTCTTTTCTTTTTCTTTTTGTTGCTTTTCAAGACAGGGTTCCTCTGTGTAGCCCTGGCTGTCTTGGAACTCACTTACTCTGTGGAGCAGACTGGCACCAACTTACAGGGATGCACCAGTCTGTGCCTCCTGAGTGTTGGGATTAAAGGAATGTGCTACCACCCCTGGCTGAAGCAGGGGGATTTCTAATTGGAAGACACCCTGGACTACAATGGCTATCCTGAGATATCTCAAAAGACAAACATTCTACCCAACAAAACCAACCTTCAATCACCAACAAATGTATGAAACAGTGCCCAACCACAGTGGTTATTGAGGCGTTAGAAATCAAATCAGGAGACCAAAACCAAACACTCACGCAATGGGAAGGGAATTCGTACATGTTGTTGAAGGGGATGTGACTAGCACCGCCATTACAGAAAACCCTTTGTAGAGTCCTCACAAAACACAAGGATAGGATCTATAAAAGATCTAGCAACTCTACAATTGGTTGTATTTCTGAAGGTGGACGATTATACCAGAGATATACAGCCAGCCTACTCATCTGCTATAATGTAGAGGGAACTGGAGGTCACACCAAGTGAAGTAAGTCAGACAGCAAAAGAAATAACATGTTTGTTAATCCTCTGCAGAAACTGAAAAGTTTAATTTTGCTAAAGAGCAGAGTGAGTGGTGGTCACCTGAGGCTGGGTGGTGGTCACCTGAGGCTGGGTGGTGGTCACCTGAGGCTGGGTGGTGGTCACCTGAGTCTGGGTGGTGGTCACCTGAGGCTGGGTGGTCACCTGAGGCTGGGTGGTGGTCATCCGAGGCTGGGTGGTGGTCACCCGAGGCTGGGTGGTGGTCACCCGAGGCTGGGTGGTCACCCGAGGCTGGGTGGTCACCCGAGGCTGGGTGGTCACCTGAGGCTGGGTGGAGGAAAAGGAGTAGAAAACAGTTCAGTAAGATTCACAAACACAGAGAATTGCTTCTAGTTTAGTTCCAGGTTTTGGCAGCACTGTGGGTAAACTGTTAAAACAATGTAATACTCTGCAAATGAAGTTAGTCAAGAAGTATGATATCCCCAACAGATACTGGCTAGAAACACTCCCCCACTTTAATTACTGTGCATTGTTTACACATACAGAATGACGCAATGCATCCTCTAGGGATACACAAATATATCTTGTGAAAACTTAGTGTGTGTCTGCACGCACACTGGCATGAGTTCATGGGACTCTTGTGCACAGAGGCTAGAAGAAATGCTCACACAGGTAATCCCATCAAATGTCAGGACCAGGAGGAAGATGAAGAGTTTCAGGATAGGCCGGGCGATGGTGGCACACTCCTTTAATCCCAGCACTCGGGAGGCAGAGGCAGGTGGATCTCTGTGAGTTCGAGACCAGCCTGGTCTACAGAGCTAGTTCCAGGACAGGCTCCAAACCCACAGAGAAACCCTGTCTCAAAAAAACAAACAAACAAACAAACAAAAAAAGAGTTTCAGGATAGCCGGGGCGATCAGCAACACCCTGCCACATAAACAAAGAAGCACATACAATCCACACATAACCCTAGAGGATCAATGTATCAGGTGACTATCAAGAGGGTGACGCCTTAGAGATGCCACTGTGGACACAAACACACATATGGGGAGGGTACCATGCCATCGTCACGGCCTCTGAGAAGCCAAATCTAGAGATAGGAAGGGTGACTACTGTCTTCCCCACAGGCTGAAACACAGTTAAGGGAGTCAGCTCACTGGCCTGATCTAACAGCCTGGTCTCCCCTCTGAGTGCGTTAGGATGCGCCTGTCTATTGAACAAGGGCTTTAGAGGTCAGGACACAGATAACAGAGTGTGTGCACCTAAGGTATCTCCAGGATACCTGATCTGGAACATCTGGGGTTGGCTGAGCAACTGACAACAGGAAGGGTGGGAGAGCGGTGGGGGAGGGGTGTTCCGTATGGCCCTGCTGAGTGAGCCGTGGAGATGTTATATCCTCTTTCAAGGTAGTCTGAAGGTAGACTAGAGTTCAGAGTCTGTCACGGTACATCTCTCCATCTTGTCAAAGGAACTGATCGATGGAGCACTAGAGCTGACTCTGAAAGAAGCCACCAATAATGGAAGTGATCTGAAAGGGCACAGAGGTCAGAGACACCAGGACAAGACCCAGTTAGCAAGCTAAGTTCACAGAGGTGGGAAGTAACCACTACTTAACTACCCAGTGTAGCTGGGGGGTAATAGCAGGGGCTCAGTGTCGGGGAGAGAGGCTGCCACCACTGCTGCTTAATACACAGGCCCATAGCATCAACCGATTCAGGAGGGCCACGGTAGACAGGTTACAGTGATATACTCAGCCTCCTCTTTCATTTCCAAGTAAACCCTAGGTAGCTTTGTATAAAGGCTGCAGGAGCACTTTAGACTTGGGCTCCCAGATGGAGAGGCTAAGGCTGGAGCAAATGTCAGAACATTTGTGTGTCAAGCTGGTGGCCATGTTGCTCCTGGTGCTGTTAATTTTTCTTCCAAGTACGTTCTGTGACATAGGATCTGTATATTACTCTTCCTATGAAACGGTCATCCCCAAGAGACTGCCAGTCAAGGGGAGTGAAGATCCCGGAGGAAGGGTGTCCTACATGCTGTTGATGCAGGGCCGGCAGCAGCTGCTTCACCTGGAGGTAAAGGGAGACCACTCTGCCAGTAACTTCCCAGTCTACAGTTACCACAATGGCGTCCTGGGGCAAGAAATGCCTCTCCTCTCACAGGACTGCCACTATGAAGGTTACATGGAAGGGGTGCCAGGCTCCTTTGTCTCTGTCAACATCTGCTCAGGCCTCAGGGGCATCCTGATCAAGGAGGAAACATCCTACAGCATCGAGCCTGTGCTCTCCTCCAAAGAGTTCGAACACACCCTGTACACTGTGGCACATCAGCCTCGCGTCTCCTGCAGTGTCATTCCCAAAGACAGCCCAGGGGACACTGGGCAGCAGCAGAGGAGCAGGAGACCCGATGACCCACGGGAGCTGTCTGACTTGTGGTCACACACCAAGTACGTGGAGATGTTCGTCGTGGTCAACCACCAGCGGTTCCAGATGTGGAGCAGCAACATCACCGAGACGGTCCGGGCAGTAGTGGACATCATTGCTCTGGCCAACAGCTTCACTAGGGGACTAAACACAGAGATGGTGCTGGTGGGCGTGGAAGTCTGGTCAGAGGGGGACCTGATAGAGGCCCCGGTGGACCTGCAGGCTACACTGAGGAATTTCAACCGCTGGAGACAGGAGGAGCTCCTGGGCCGTGTCAGGCATGATGTGGCACACTTGATCGTCGGGCATCACCCAGGAGAGAACGAGGGCCAGGCGTTTCTCGATGGTGCCTGTTCTGGTGGGTTTGCAGCGGCTGTGGAGGCCTTCCATCATGAAGATGTCCTGCTGTTTGCGGCGCTCGTGGCCCACGAGCTGGGGCACAACCTGGGAATCCAGCACGACCACCCAGCCTGCGCCTGTGACCCTAAGCACTTCTGCCTCATGCACGAGGATATCACCAAGGACAGTGGCTTCAGCAACTGCAGCGCTGACGACTTCTACCGTTTCCTCCATGACCACAGAGGGGCCTGCCTGCTTGACAGGCCTTGGCACCAAAGCCGCAAGCGCAGAGCTGCCCGTTGTGGAAACGGTGTGGTAGAGGAGTCAGAAGAGTGTGACTGTGGTTCTGCTTGTGACAGTAACCAATGTTGTGATGAAAACTGTAAATTTAAGCAGGATGCAGAGTGTAATAATGAGCTTTGCTGTTTTCAATGTAAATTTAAAAAGAAGGGACAGGTCTGTCGTCCTGCTGATGGAATTTGTGACCTGGCAGAATACTGTAATGGGACCTCTGCAATATGTCCTGAGAACAGGATAGTGAAAGATGGCTCTGTTTGTCATGAAGCTTACTTCTGCTTTGAGGGTCAGTGCCTGGACCCTAGCTCTCAATGCTCACGTATTTTTGGGTTTGGTGCAAAATCTGCCTCTGATGAATGCTACAGTTCCCTGAACAGCAGAGGGTACCGGTTTGGAAATTGTGGGCCTTCTTCTGAGTCTCCAGGAACATATATCACTTGTTCAGAGCAAAACAGTCTGTGTGGGAAACTTATATGTACAGACTTACAGTTCTTACCACCAATCAAACAGAAACATACACTGATCCAAGTCCCTCACAAAGTGAACTGGTGCTGGAGCATGGATGCTCCTGGTGATGAGACAGACATCCCTGGCAGAGGCTATGTGAAGAACCTGACCAACTGTGGCTCAAATAAGGTGTGTCAGAATTTCAGCTGTGAAGACAGCAACATATTCTCCACCGACCCTTCCTGCAGTAAGGAACTGTGTAATGAACATGGAGTTTGTAATGATTTAGGGCACTGTCATTGTTCAAACGGCTTTGCACCCCCTGACTGCAGACATAAAGGAACTGGAGGCAGTATGGACAGCGGTCCCACTCCTGAACTATCAGATGAAAATCCTTCAGAATTTGAGAGTCAAAATCCTGAAGATAAAGGTAAAGAGTTGGTACTTAACTTAAAACTGATAGTTCTTTCTGCTATTTTGATACTCACAATACTCTTTATAATTGTATGCATCATGATTGCGTACAGCAAGTCAGAGACTCCTTATGAAGTAGAGCCTTCAGAGTTTGAGAAGGTTCCGGAAGAGGCTGAGGAAGAGAAAGAGAAGGAAGAGGAAGAAGAGGAAGAGGAAGAAGAGGAAGAGGAGAAAGAAACAGAAGAGGAAGAGGATAAGGGAGAGGAATAAGTAGGGGGAACATAAAGCCAACAGCCAAGCCTCTTGCAGCCCTGAGAATGAGAGGCTCAGTAAAGCAAAGATTGCGCAAACTGCCAGCTGTGATCCCTCCCTGGGACTCCAGGGCCTACGGATACACTTGTGAGCGAGACAGGAGGCTCTGTCTTTACTATTTAGTTGATGGGTGTTTCCATAGTCAATATTTCAGTACTCTAGTTTTCATGTTTCATTTGAACTTGTCACATATATCTTTGGACATTCAGGTTCTTGTATCTTTGGGCTAATTCTTTTGGTCACCAGAAACTGTATTTTAGGACATGCTTTCTTCCACATCGATTGTCTGGTGCTCCTGAATTTATCACTATCTCCAGGATTTTTATTCCAAATAACAACTACCTATTATGTAAGGGCAATTCCCGCAAGATTCAGTGTTCTGACTTGCCCAAAAATATATTCAAGGGATGAGTCTTTAAATAAAACTCTTAACATTAGATATGCCTTTGGGTTCCATGTAATTATTGAGTATGTTCGGTTCTGTAGCTATGTGGTAAAGGCTGTACCTCATAAGGAAGAAGGCCTAACTTTGAATCTTGAGTTAAGAAGTCAACATTACAGACATCAGCCACATCTCCAGGACAAAGAGTGCTTGCTGTACAGTCATTAAGTTCAGATTCCCACACTCACCTAACAAGAGACAAGACAGGGATCTTGCACATGCCCATAATCCAAACTGGCAAGACCAGGAGGTTCACTGGGGTTTGATGGTTTCTAGCCCAGAGAATGCAAGCTCTAGGTTTAGGGAAAGAATAGACCAAGAATCATAGAGGACACTAAACATCTCTTCTACCCTATATGCAGATGCGTAGGCACCTCCATCTGCACAGACATGAGCACTACACAATAAACAAACAATCGTATATTGAAGAGGAAGCAGCAGCAACCAGCACTAAGTAAGTATTGATGGTGCTGTTTGCCATATTGCCAGCTTTCTTCAGAAGGCTTAGCAAGGAGACTGAAAGTGTAAGGCCAGCCTGGGTTACTTAGCAAGACTTATCCTAAAAACAAAATGAAGCTGAACAGAATTACTTTGTGCTATGACTGTAGAAAGGACAGCCTTTCTCATAAGTCATCCTGCCATGTGTTTGTAGCATCATGAGGAAGAAGTTCAGTAATTGACGCATTGATGCTCCTATAGGAACACACTCCTCAACAGAGTCTGGCCATGTCCTGCCACCTTCTCCCTGCCTCTCTGGGTGCCTCGGGCCAGCCAAGACCCCAGTACTTTCCTTAGTTTCCTAAAGCCAATTCCAGATTCTAGATTTGTCTTCAGACTTGAGAGGAACAAAGGGAAGTTACAGTGTGGAAGAGATGCTGCAGTTAGTGATGCTCTCATGCCCAGGGGTCATGTTGTCCTTAGGGGTCTAGGAGCAGACCTCCTCAGGCTGACCTCACATCTTTGCTCATCCCATTAGTCAAGCTGAGCTCCCTTGTTTGGAGTTCAGTTGAAAAAAATAAAATAAGGTAACCCCAAATTGATACAATTCTGTTCTTGATGAAAACAAAGTGTTACTTTTGTTTGTTTTTGATATAGTGGTTCACACATGTAGCCAAGAAACTGGCTTCCAACTACATGGCCCAGGTTAGCCTCAACCTCAAAGTAATCTTTCTAACTCAGCCTCTGGAGTCCTGAGATTACAGGTGTAAGATATCACATGGAGATAAAAGTGCTACATTTATTTGAAAAGGAACATGGCTTACTGTTTCTCTAGATTTCTTCTGAAATGGAATTTTGTCATTATGATTGAGTGGAGAACAGCTTAGTCAAGTGTTTTTTCAAAGGGGAAAAACCGTTCTTTTTCCATCAATAGAAAAGAAGTAAAAATAAACTTTCACCCTGCTTTGAGAACCAGCTTCAAAATTCCCCATATCCTATCAATCATGGCTTCCCTGTGTGTGGGGAGAGGAGTCTTCCACTTCTCTATCCCATAAGCACATGCCTGCACCATCTAGCGTGTTATTCTAGAAGACGTCACCACTTCTGCAGGGGAAGCACTCCAACACCAGCCTTGATTCTGGGTCTTTGAAGTTTATGGACATAATGAAAGGATGAACTGTAATTAGAGGCATTTCAAAGGCTTATTTGTTTAATCAGAGCTACAGGCAAAAATTGTCTTTAAATATGAGAACATCTTTTTTTGTGATTTCACTTCATATGAAGGCAAATCTCAAACACTTCACTTTCCTAGAATGGAGAAGACAGGATTTATAGATTTGATTCAGATTATAGCTGAACTGTTTTTAATGTGGATAGGTAAAATCCATACTTAAGGTTGTAATAATGTTTACCCGCATTAAAAAAAAAAAGGATTTTAAGCTGGGTGATGGTGGTGCACGCCTTTAATCCCAGCACTTGGGAGGCAGACTCGGGAGGATCTCAGTGAGTTCAAGGCCATCCTGGTTTACAAAGTGAGTTCTAGGACAGCCAAGGCTACACAGGGAAACACTGTCTTGAAAAAAAAGAAGGGGAAAAAAAGGAAAGAAGGAAAGAAAAGAAAGGATTTTAAGGATTTTAATGTCACAAAAGTTGGGAAGACAATGAGGGAAAAAGAATGTGGTTTAAGAATGCTGGAAGACAACCTCATCTGGAGGGACATTGCCTAGGAAGTGTGTTCAGACCAACCATGAGCGTACCTTGTTAAGCCCGCACTGAGAATGCACACTCTTATAACACTGGTCTCACCTCTGTGCTCCTTGGATTCTGGATGCTCATCCCTTTATCAAAAGATATCTTCATTTCTCTTGCTCACCATGTCCTGTCTTCCCTTCTGTATTGGCTATAGGTCTCTGAACCCTTGTTCTGCAAATCTCTGTGAACCAATTTCCACATTTTACAAATTTTTTCCATGTTCATATAAATATATATTTGAGGACCATCTTTTATAAATAAGCCTATTATTTTTTCTAAAGTGGGCAACTCACTAAGCCTTATATATCAATGATTTTTTTTCTTGTTTTGTTTTTTGAGACAGGGTTTCTCTATAGCTTTGGAGCCTGTCTTGAAACTAGCTCTTGTAGACCAGGCTGGCCTCAAACTCAGAGAGACCTGCCTGCCTATGCCTCCCGAGTGCAGGATTAAAGGTTTGTGCCACCACTCTCAGATGGTTTTTTTTTTCTGTAAATTATTCTTTATTACTAGAGTTCCAAGGCATATTAGTATATCCATAGTTATTTACACCATGTTCTTATAAATAGATATGCATTCTGTTTTGACTAGCTATTACAGACTGAATGCAGACAAAACCCACAAGTCAGGCAAAGGGCTTTCTTCTGATCTGTTCCATGCTGCCGGCCGTTACATTTCCCACCACTCTGTGGCACAAGTTTTGACCTGGGTGTGCTCAGGAAACTCACTTTAGGTCACTTCTGTTCATTATATAAGGAAGTTTCTTCTGACCTAAATCCTGGAGAGCTTCTGGTCTCACTGTTACCCATAAAACACTACCAGTATGTCTGCGAAAGAAGTGCTAAAAAACCGTTTAGATGCTGGACTGACAGTCAATGTTGTGGAGAAAACAAAAAGCTGCCTTGAGCTTGGTAGGGCTCAAGGAATAATGATGTTGGGAACACTAAGAATCCTAGGGCTGGCTGAGCTGTGGTGACTACTGCCACTGTCCTGGGAGCCATGGCTCTAACTATGGGGCCTCTGTGGTTTTCATAACAACTGTGACCAATTCCTCTCACCATGTATAGGACATACAATTCTGCCACCATAGCTCTACTGGTCACTAAGGAAGCTTTGCTTAGTCATAAATATTTCAGATGGATACAGCCACCAAATCTACTTATATTTTTAGATAAAGTTTAAAAAAAAAATTGAGCCGGTGGTGGTGGCACATGCCTTTAATCCCAGCACTCGGGAGGCAGAGGCAGGCGGATCTCTGAGTTCGAGGAAGGCCTGGTCTACAAGAGCTAGTTCCAGGACAGGCTCCAAAGCCACAGGTCTCGAAAACAAAAACAAAAACAAAACAAAAAAAAAAGTTTAAAAAATTCTATATAAAATTGTTATAATAAACAACTTGAAAAACACTAAAATACTACAAATGACGGATACAGCAGAGCATTTTGGCTGTGTGAGCATTCTCAGGTCTCCATGAAACCTCACTGCACACCTGCAAGTTGTTGCATGGCTTCCTACTTCCCTTGTTTTTGTGGAGCAGAGTTTGCAAATGACACACATATATGTGAACCTGAAATTTATTTTTTCTTGAAGAGATGTAAACAAATCTAGTATCTGAAAAAGTAATGAATCTCTTAAGATAGAAAGTAGCTATACCTCCCTGAATGAGCACCTGGAGAGATCCTTCCTAATTCACCCAGAACCATTACTGACCACAGCTTACATTCCCTTTTATTTCTCCAGTCTGGAGTATGCCAGAAAAGATGGGGGTGTTCCCTGCAGACCTGCAGAATCCACTCACATGAAACATTCACTTCCGGGATGTGCTAGTTCCATAGTTTCAAAGAATGGTGGAAGAGCTGGAAGCAAAAGCAAGAGAAAACTCCGGTGGGTCTAGGCTCCTGCTATAGATTCTCTTCTGTGAGCACAGCAATGGGGTCTGAGTATCTGCATCATGGCGAGGCTCACGCTTTAGCTGCTGGAACTTGCACTGTGTCCAGCCATATATGCCACAGTTGATCAGACCCTGGGATGCTGCTGTGAGAGCCTGGAAGAGACGAAGAACGGTGGAGCCCAACCCTCTGTGCAGCGTCGTCACTGGAGCTGCTGGACTGTGCACAAGCTCATCTAAACTCTTCACATTGCATCCTGCTGTGGACAGCTGACGGCTGCTATACTTTTTAGTATTTATGAGGACAAGAAAACGGCTTCAACTGCCAACTGTTCTAAAAAGTTTTCTTCTGATAATGGAGGAAAGTGGAAAAGCAAAAAATTCCCTTCCTGCTTATCACTCACTACACACAGGTAATTTGTGCCATTTGATTCACTCTGGATGGGAGAGCATCACCATCAGTGTCTCACAAGAATATATACCCTGGGAGACCTTATTCTACCAACCATATCTTCAATATATCAAAACAAAGTTGCCCAGAGATAAATGTGCTCCATACTGGACCCAGAAACACTTAGACTAGCCTTTCAGGAAATGGTTATATTCTTCATTAGTAACCATAAACATTAGATGTTCTCTTTTGCAATGCACAAATGAATATACTGAAGGGGGAAAACCTGTGTGCCCTCTAAATGGCAGTGTGAGAGAACCAGGTACAAAGGTGCAAGACAAAAGATTCTGGCTTTGGAAGGGGTTACCTGGAGCACAGAGAAAGCCATGTGCAGGGAGGTGTCCTGGGGCTTGGTCAGCTCTATGATCAACAGTGTGGCAGCTGCAAACACACAACGTGTAAACTGCTGTCAGCTCTCAGTGCACACGCCTGCAACACATCCCGTCAACAAAAGCTACAGGGAACTGAAGATCAGCACTGAGATTAACCAATTATGTAAACCATTGAGACTTTGGCCTTCATTTCTGGTCTGTACTGATTAAAACTTGCAGATTAATGCCAGGTGGACTCGTACATGTCTTTAATCCCAGCATTGAGGCAGAGGCCGTAGGTATACCTCTGGTGAGTTTGAGGCCATTGCCATTGGGGTCTACGTAATGAGACCTTGTCTTAAAAAATAAAGCAATAAGTAAAGAAATAAAATTTACAAGCTAGATAGGAATATGCAGTCATGATTTTAGTGAGCCACCTCCTTCACCTCCAATTCCTTTTACTAAGATACCAACCTGGGCCCCAGCAGCATACAAAGGCTACCGGGAAGAAGCGCATTCGCTGGCCCACAGTGTAAATCGCTGCCCACTGCTCACTCTCCAGAAAGCCTGTCGATTTCACAAACTTCTTATACAATGACTGGGCATGGAAGAGCAAGACCTAAACATGAGTGTAGCAGTGAGTAGTAGGCCTGTGGCTTAGTCAAATTTCCCAGCATCTTAGAAGGCTCATTCTGCAAGAAATTCCTGCCGGAAAAAGTCACTCTCCTGGGCTAGAGAGATGGCTCAGTGGTTAAGAGCACCGGCTGCTCTTCCAGAGGTTCTGAGTTCAATTCCCAGCAACCAACCACATGGTGGCTCACAACCATCTGTAATGAGATCTGGCGCCCTCTGGCGTGTGGACATACATGGAGGTAGAATGTTGTATACATAATAAATAAATCTTAAAAAAAAAAGTCACTCTCCTTCTTTACCATGAGAGCAGACTTTGGAGAAATACCCAGTGGGAATTTTCATGTAGACAAACAGATACTAACCAAACTTTTAGTTATTATGTTCAGTATGTGAACATCATCAACCCCTGGCTTTCCCAACCTTAAACAAATCACAATATATATAGGAAGGTGTGTTGTTTTCTTGTGGAGGTGGGAATCAAATCCACAGACTATAATAGGCAAGCATTGTACTAATAACTTGCATTCCCATCCAGGAAGTTAAAGTGAGTTCTAACTAATCCATCTCTTAAAATATCTTATTAGTGATTCTTTGAGACTATGTTTTATACTTCATGCCCTGAAGTTTATCAGTACAAAGGCTAATACTAAATTCTCAACTCTGAGTAAAAGAGGAGTTTTAAAAAAATCTCTTCTTGCCAGGTGGTGGTGGCGCAAGCCTTTAATCCCAGCACTCGGGAGGCAAAGGCAGGTGGATCTCTGTGAGTTCGAGACCAGCCTGGTCTACAAGAGCTAGTTCCAAGACAGGCTCCAAAGCTACAGAGAAACCCTGTTTTGAAAAACGAAGAGAGAGGGGGGAGCGAGGGAGGGAGGGAGGGAGGGAGAAGAGAGAGAGAGAGAGAGAGAGAGAGAGAGAGAGAGAGAGAGAGAATATCTCTTCTCAGTCAACCAATGGTGGTGCGCACCTTTCACCCCAGCACTTGAAGACAGAGGCAGGAGGATCTCTGAGTTTGAGGCCAGCCTGGTCTACAGAGTGAGTTCCAGGACAGCCAGGACTAAAGAAATTGTCTCAAAGGTAAAAAAAAAAAAAAAAAAAAAAAAAAAAGAAAAGAAAAAAAGAAAAAAGAAAAACCCATGTTTTCATTATCTGGGAAATTAAATCAAAGCACAGGTTCTATGTCACAGAATGTCACTAACATAAAGGATACATCATGTCATGTGATCTTTCTACTCTGGGTTCTCATGGGAATCAAAGAAACACATTAATTCTAGAGTGAACATGATTGTCACCTAACTAATAGAAGCTTTTTTTCCTGCTTATCATGTGATTTTGGGAAGTCCAAAAAAACAAAGGCAGTAATTACACTGTCAACAAATCCTTGTCACTTCCTTCCTTTCTTCCTTTTTTTTTGAAAGAATTTCATACACAGCCCAGACTGGCTATATGAAACTAAGGATGACTTTGAACTTCTGATTCCCATGCTCTCGTGCACTCTAGGGAAGTGTTCTACCAGCTGAACTACATCCTCACAGTCATGGTCACTTCCCTGGTGCTGGACCATGGGAAACACCTCTTTTATATATATATATATATTATTTATTTATTATGTATACAATATTCTGTCTGTGTATATCCCTACAGGCCAGAAGAGGGCACCAGACCTCATTACAGATGGTTGTGAGCCACCATGTGGCTGCTGGGAATTGAACTCAGGACCTTTGGAAGAACAGGTAATGCCCTTAACCTCTGAGCCATCTCTCCAGCTCCCGGGAAACACCTCTTGTAGTGTTCCAGTCTTGGAACACTGCCTATCTCTCTCTGTCCATCCTTTCAGCAGTAACAAACAGGTGGTACCATACCGTGATGAGGAGGAGGCTGAAGAAAAAGCTGGCCAGGAAAACAGTGACACCATAAAAATAGAGCACACTGCAGACAGATGTGTTGGTGGAAGGCAGGGGTTCAATCATGGCTGACGGGGGCGAGTGCATTAGGAGACACCTGGGAAGAGAACCAATGGGCAGGATGATACGACAATGACAACACAAGAGAAACAAAACCAAACCTGAATGTCTCAGTGAGGTCACTACTGCTGTGATAAACACATGACCATCAGCAAGCGGGGGATGAAAGGCTTTATTTGGTCTACTCTTCCACATCTTAGTCCATCACTGAAGTAAGTCAGGGCAGCAGCCTGGAGGCAGCAGCTGATGCAGAGGCCATGGAAAGGTGCTGCTTACCAGCTTGTTCCTCATGGCTTGCTCGGCCTGATTTGTTATAGAACCACGGGCCAACAGCTCACCGGTGGCCCCACTCACAATTGACTAGTCCCCCCAACATCAATCACTAATGAAGAAAATGTCCTATAGGCTTGCCTGCAGCCCCATCTTATGGAGGCCCTTTCTCAGTTGAGGCCATTAGTTTGTGTCAGGTTGACAGGAAACTACCCAGCACAGTGAGTAATGGGCTCTTACCTATAACACCCTGTTCCTTCCCACAGATGAAATACCTTGAGTCACTCTGGACTGTCTATTTCCTTGTGTTTCTTCAGCCTGACTACATCATATTATATCTAGAACCCATTTCCAAAACAAGTAATTTTTTTGAAACAGGGTATGATGTAGTCCAGGCTAGCCTCAAACTAGTAAGTAGTTCAGATTGGCTTCAAAACTCTGACCTCCTGTCTCCATCTCCTATGTGCTGAGGTCACAAGTATGCACCACCACACATACTATATGCAGCTCTGGGGAATCCAACCCAAGACTTTGTGTAAGCCCAGCAAACATTCTACTGCCTGGGCTAGCTACCTCCACAAGTAAAACAAATGGTTATGGTTAAAGAAGCTCCATTTTATGCTAGGTATTTATTTTGGTACCCACCAGTTGTCTGTTGATGACCCCAGTCCCTGGAAGATAAGTTCCCATTATAAGAAGGAACCAAACTGAAGCCATTTTGAATAAAAATTCCATCTTGAAAAGCAAAGTGAAATAAAGTTTAAGTTTCCAAGACCTCCCTGGGTAACTGACATCACTAGCATCCTGGCTAGCAAGGTGAGGCACAAATGGTGGGTACACTGCCCCACCACACTTGAGTAAAACAACCAACGAGAACAAGGCAAGTGAACCAAAGAACAGTGTCCCTAGGAAAGATCCCATCCAGGTTGGTGGGAAATATAAGTGCAACTTGGTACAGACATTTGTGGTTTTTCTGTTTAAATACTTGCTGATCACATAGCAGAGACAGTACAAAAAAAAAAAAAAGAAAGAAAAGAAAAAGAAAAAAACCAAGCATGCCACAAGGACACATGCTCAACTATGTTCATAGCAGCTTTGTTTGTCATAGCCAGAACCTGAAAACAACCTAAATGTTCCTCAATCGAAGGAGAATGGATAAGGAAAATGTGGTACATTTACACAATGGAGTATTACACAGCAGAAAAAAAAACAACAGCTTGAATTTTGCAGGAAAATATGTGGAGCTAGAAAACGTTATTTTTGAGTGAGGTAACCCATACACAGAAAGACAATTATCACATGTACTCACTCATAGGTGGTTTTTAATCATAAAGCAAAGAAAGCCAGCCTACAAACCACAATCCCAGAGAACTTAGACAACAATGCGGTCACTAAGAGAGACTTACATAGATCTAATCTAATCTACATGGGAAGTAGAAAGTAGAAAAAGACAAGATCTCCTGAGTAAATTGGGAGCATGGAGACCTTGAGGGAGGACTGAAGGGGGAAGGGGACGGCATGGAGGGGAACAGAGAAAAACGTAGAGCTCAATAAATATCAATAAAAAATAAAATTAAAAACAATACTTGCTGAAATGAATGCTCAGTGACACAGTCAGCTCCCAAGTCTGTACTGCTGGATCTTGCTTTGTATGAGTTCTTGTGTATTTGGGTTGTTTGGGTCTTCTTGGACCCTACCAGTACCCCTGACTCAGTGATAGCTACCCAAAAATGTACAGCCATTGCTTTGTTGTTGTTGTTTCTGTAACTTACTTATGCAGACACCCAAAGATTGTTATGAGGTGCTTTAACCACTTAACTTGGCAGAACAAAACATTTTTATTTGCTTACATAAGATAGTGAAGGTCTTCATGTGGTTTCCTCTTTAATAATCTTCCCCATAATCCTCCTGCATGGCAACCTAAAATTTGCTTCAGAGATTGTTCACCCTGCTAGCAATTAAACAATACATATTTTAATTATAGTGGGAATGAATCTATGGTCTTTTCCCAGAAGTCATAAACACCAAAGCAAAACATGTTGGCTAGAAAGTATGTAGAACAAATGAAAAGCTGAGTTAGTCCTTGCTCACCTGTGGCTCTGGCTAAAGTTGTGGAAGCATTCGTTGACATTGCCCAGACAAAACACAGGTGTCATCAGCAGCAGAGGTAGCAGGCTGATAGGAGAAAATGGATTATGCCATTATCCAGAAATGTTCATGCCCTTCTCCCTTTTGTAAAATAGTCTCCTCCTCTGACTAGATTACCCCCCCAACTCCCCATACCTGACCTACATGAAGAAAAACATCTCACATACCATAGCTATCCTTATTTTCTATTTCCCAAGGAACTTCATTGTAAAATGGACTTTATATCTAACTTGACCTCTTAATAGTTTCTTGAGAATCTTTGGAATTATAGCCAGATAAAAATCTGCTAGGTCAGGCAGTAGTGGAATGATGGCTCAGTGGTTAAGAGCATTGCCTGCTCTTCCAAAGGTCCTGAGTTCAATTCCCAGCAACCACATGGTGGCTCACAACCATCTGTAATGAGGTCTGGTGCCCTCTTCTCGCCTGCAGGCATACACACAGAATATTGTATACATAATAAATAAATAAATATTTTTTAAAAAAGAAAACAAATCAGAGTCTAAGCGATGTTGGGTGTGGTGGTGCAGGCTTGTAATCTCAGCATGCAGGAAATTGAGGCAGGAGGATCTTGATTTTGAGGGCAGTCTGAGCTACATAGCAAAACTTTGTCACAAAAAAGCAAAACAAAACAAAATTTACATGAAAAAATCTACATGAAAGAAAACAATGGAACTGCCACGAGGTGGTGGTGCACACCTTCAATCCCAGCACTCAGGAGGCAAGAGGCAGGATCTCTGTGAATTTGAGAGGTCAGCCTGGTCTACAGATTGAGTTCCAGGAGAGCCAGGGCTACACAGAGAAACCGTCTCAAAAAACAAACAAAACTATGGAACAGCTCTGCATGGTCTCCTTCACTCTGCAGTGCCAGATTAATTCCTGTCCTTACCTTTCCTGTGTGCTTACTCTTTAAACAGACAATTGTTTATCCACTTAAAATACAGCCACTGACCTAGAAGGGATTTGGGAGCAAAGTTATAAAGTCTAAAACCAATGTGACTGCTTCTTTGTGTGGATCTGGATTCTTTCTGGACTAGGATTCTCACACAATGTTATAAGGTGGACTGATCTTGAGAGCTGGGCTCAGCAGGTAAAGCTTGAGGAGTGGAGTGGGGTACAGTGGGATGCCCAGGACCCACATAAAAAACTGATAGCTCTTGAGGTCAGCCTGTTGTCCAGCATACTGGAAACAGAGATGTGAATCACCAGGATAAGGTAGCTTGGTCCGAAGAGCAGGTATGCTGATAAGTTCTGGGTTCCATGAGAAACTCTCTTGGTGTATAAGAGAGAGTGATAAATGAAAGGAGCTGACATCAAGCTTCCTCCATACGCAAGCACAGAAGTAGTCACCCGAAACGCAAGCACAGAAGTATTCACCCGAAACATAAGCATATATATATATATATATATATATATATATATACACTCACATATATACAAATGCAAGAAAGAGGTTTGTTCAAAGCCACAAATAATTAATGTTATAGAGTTGGAGCTAAAACCCAGCTCTCTAATATCAAACTAGGGAAAGGAAGAAAGTAATCAATAATTATGTTTGTTGCTTCCTATCATTTAATGCTCTATAAAGACACAGGAGTGACAGTGGAAATGAAGAGTAACAGGCATTTGTTCCTTTGTCACCTTACCAGCAAGAAAAAAATCTTACCTTGACAAAATGAATACTATGTGACTACTTTGACAAGTATGATTTATCACCTATGAAAAGATGAGAAGTGAAAAAATGTTAGGACCAGTGCCAAAGTCACCAGTAAACATGCACACACATTTCCAGTAGCCCCGTTGCTTTGTCAGTCATATTGTTTATAGAACCCATCAAAGTCAGTTCCCTTAATATAGATAAAACATGACAGTGTATAGATAAAACATGACAGTGTTTTATCTATATTACTACGCTAAAAAGAAACAACAACAATAATAAACCCAGAAGACTACAGAGAGTAATTTAATCCAAAGCTTGAGTGCTGAAACAAATTCTTTTAGGGATAAAGGCATATTTGAACTCATAGGATGTTTTTTTCTTTTAGCCCCAGAAAGGCACGGATGAATAAAGCCATGTATAAGTTGGCCAGCACAAAGTATTAACTGGCCAATATTGACATGAGTCAGAGGAGCCCTTGGATATAAGACTATGCTAGAGTACGGAACATTTAAAATCTGGAGACTTAGGAGACAGTTCAGTAGATAAAGTGGTTTTGAGCAAGCATAGGAACCTAAGTTCATATCCCTAGCACCCACACAAGAAACCAGGCATAAGCAGCACTTGTCAGCAACCCTAACACTGTAGAGGAGGCGAGGGAAGACAGACAGACCCTAGGGGCTGCACAGGCCAATCAGACTAGCACAAACGGCAAATACCAGGTTCAGTAAGAAATAGCTCAAAAACAAAATCCCAGCACTCGGTAGACAGAGGTGGGCCAGATCTCTGTGAATTCAAGGCCAGCCTTGTCTACAGAGCAAGTTCCAGGATAGCCAAGACTGTTACATAGAGAAACCTTGTCTTGAAAAACAAAACAAAACAAAACAAAGAAGGTGAAGATCAACAGAGGAAAGCAGCTGGTGTTGACTACTGATCTCTACACATTGATGCACAGACACACACACACACCACACACAGTGTGCTGCATTACATAGGGTGATGGAATATGTATTTATCATAGATGAGTCTTGGGTTCAAATCCATAACACTCCCAGACAGACAGATGAATACTCCCCACTTGCATCAGAGACTAAACAATCTGCAGCAGCATAACTGCTATCATGATAAGCATAACTTGGTATCATGATGGAAAGTTCATGGCCTATGGGTTTGCTTTTCACACTTGGCCAGTGGAGCCCCAGCTCAAGCCCAGGGCTTTGAGTGAAGTCGTGGGCAAAGCTCTGGGAGCTGCTGTGCTTTGAGGCACTCATCGCCCAAAGAGAAGAAAACAAACTCCCAGCTCTTTGCTTCCCTACAAACAAGCATAGAAAGGGGTAAGTAGCCACAGGCCCTTCCTAACTGGAGAGATCATGCAAGGTTAAGGTGCAGAAGACACCTATGCCTGTGGAATGCCCAGAGTGGGCAAGATTAAATGGCAGCAGAGAGAGTGGAGTTTTTGTTGTACACAGCAGCTACTATCTGCACACAGCTACTTACAGTAAAACTAAATAAAATGAAAATGTCAACTCCTGCCATGCATGATGGCATATGCCTCCAAGACCAGAATTTGAAAGGCAGAGGCAGTAGGATGGCTGCAAGTTAGAAGCCAGCCTAAGGTACATGGCAAGTTCTAATACTGCCCCAACCAGGGCTACAGAGTAAGAGACTCTGGTTCAAAGCCTGAGTTCCCCACGTCAGTTCCTTCATTTTGCAGTTACATGACAAGCGCTCAGTGGCCACTGTGGCCAGTAACTACGGATACAAACACACTTGCTACCAGGTGTGGTGGCTACTCCGTTAGTCCCAGCACTTGGAGGGCAAAGGCAAGCAGCTCCCTGTGAGTTCAAGGCCAGCCTGGTCTATATAGTAAAATCCTGCCTCCAAGAAGTTTCATTGAATGCTTTTGTAAAGACTGTAGTATCTTGTTTATGATGCTGCTTATGGGTACTTTTCATGTTTCATTTTCTTTTTTTTTTTTTTTACCATGTTCTCTGGGAAGTGGGGACCAGAGGAAAAAAGAGAGAACAATATTTGTTCCTACCCTTTCTTACCAGTGACTGTCTTGAACAAAGCTAAAAAAAAAAAAAAGGAAAAGCTGGGTGGTGGTGGTGCATGCAGAGCAGGTAGATCACTGTGAATTCAAGGCAACCCTAGTCTACAAGAGCGAGTTCTAGGACAGTCTCCAAAACTACAAAAAAAAGAAAAAGAAAAAAAGAAAAGGAAACAGAAGAAAAGAAAGAAAAAAGAAAGAAAGAAAGAAAGAAAGAAAGAGAAAGAAAGAAAGAAAGAAAGAAAGAAAGAAAGAAATGACATTTTCACAATCACAGCATTTTGGTGTTGAAGAGGCAGCATGGATTATAGAGATTAATACTGAACTTTACGATGAAAACTTGATGCCTAACTGTCTTGGCTACATACTGAGCTGTGGGCCAGCATGGGCTACATAGCAAGAGCCTTTTCAACAAACAAAACATGAGATGATATACCTATGGCTATAAATCAGACAGTAACCCAGCCAGGCAGTAGTGGCATGCTCCTTTAATTCCAGCACTCTGGAAGCAGAGGCAGGTGGATCTCTGTAAGTTCAAGGCCAGCCTGGTCAACAAGAGTGAGTTACAGGACAGGCTCCAAAGTTATACAGAGAAACCTTGTCTCAAAAAACAAAACAACAACAACAACAAAAAAACAGACAAGTGACCCAGAACAATGCATATACATCATTTTGTGAAAACAAATATTGAACTTAATATTTGAATATTAGTTGATAATGAATAATGTTTATGGGACTAGGGAGATTTCTCAGTGAATAAGAACATTGACTACTCTTCCGGAGGACCCTGGTTAAATTTCCAGCACCCACATGGCAGCTCCCAACTGTAACTCCAGTTCCAGGGGATCAACACCCTCGTACAGTTAGACATGCAAGCAAAACACCAATGTACATGAAATACAAAAAAGTAAAGAATAATGTTTGTTATTATTGTCAGTTGGAGACAGTGACTTCATCCCTTGTAAAGTCCTATTAAAGATCCTGTAACATTCCCACCCTGCCTCCTTAGGTGATACTTCTGTGCTGTTCACTAAGAAGACATGGAAAGCCCTAATGGAGGGACAGACAGACAGACAGGGGCAGAGTTACAAGACAGCCTCAGGCAGGCACAAATTCAGACTCACAACAGACAGGACAGAAGGCACAGAAATCGTGAAGTAGAGAATTCAAATCTGGACTCACTCTTGTTCAAATGACTCCAAAGGGAAGTGCTTTTGTTTCTACCCTTAATGCAACACTGATGCGTTGCTGATGACTCTGAGTCAATCACGAACACATTTAATCCACACGCTCTTCCACTTACTCAAACAACAAACAGTCACTGGGCTATTCCCTGTGTCCACTGGGAAGCAATCTGCAGGTCCTAGGAGAGGGTGGAGCAGCTTTCCAGACTGTTTATCATGCCCTTAACAGAATTTTACTTTAAAAAAAATAAAGTGATAAATATTACAGAAGTTAAGGTTAGAATATTTAGTAAGATGTGTAAGATGAAAATGGGCCTGCGTTTTGTAGCACAGTGGTGGAGTGTTTCCTAGCATTCTAGAGGTCCTGGGTCTAATCCCAGCACCACATAAACTGGGTTTAGTGGTCCACACCTAGAATCCCAGCATTTAGGAAGTAGAAGAAAGAAGATCAGAAGTTCAAGATCATCCTTGATTATGTAATCTGAGATAGCCTGGGCTACATGGGACCCTTTTTCAAAAACAAACCAACAACAATAACAAAAATATTAAGTCTAATGTGGTGCACGCTTTTAACCCCAAGTACTCGGGAGGCAGAGGCAGGTGGATCTTTTGAGTTCAAAGCCAACATAGTCTACAGAATGAATTCTACGACAGCCAGGGCTATACAGAGAAACCCTGTCTTGGAAAAAAAAATGTAAAGACATTTAGAAATAAAGACTGAGAAATCACTAATATATTACCCATCAGAATTAGCGATGTTCTCAAAGCATCAGAAACAAGAAACTCACTAGTCTATGAGCACACATACATAATCCCAGCACTTGGGAGGTACAGGCACAAGGGCCAGAAGTTGAAAGCCAGCTGCAGCTGGTTCAAAGCCAGCCTAAGCGCTTAAGCTACATGGAACATAGTCTCAAAAAGAAAAAACAACAACAACAAAAAAAAAAACCCCACTAGAGTAAAAAAGTAAGACACTCGGGGACTGGAGAGATGGATCAGAGGCTCTTCCAGAAGTCCTGAGTTCAATTCCGAGCAACCACATGGTGCCTCACAACCATCTATAATGAGATCTGGTGCCCTCTTCTGCCCTGCAGTGATACATGCAGACAGAACACTGTAGACATAATAAACAAACAAATCTTTTTTTAAAAAAAAGTAAGACACTCAATTTACTACACAATGAAGTGCTATTTATTCGGCAGTAAAAAGACGGCGTGGTTTGCACATGTGAAAACGACGGCTTTCACAGCACTGTGCTGCTCTGCTTTCCCCATCCTTCGGTCTCCTTCCCACCCCTTGTACTCACTCTCCTAGTCATGTTCAGTCTACTGCTCTCCCTGCTCTGGACTCTTCCAGCTGCCTTTGGCTGTTCTCTCCCTCATAATAAAATCTTCACCTTCAACCATAGTAAAAATAATATAAAAATAAAAATAACTAAAAGCACTGTTATAAGTGAAAGCAAACATACATATACATGCACACATACAGTATTATTGTTACATGAAGTATCCTGAAAAGCAGGTCTATAGAAAGGCACATACAGCCAGGCGGTGGTGGTGCATGCCTTTAATTCCAGCACTCGGGAGGCAGAAACAGGAGAATCTCTGTGAGTTCGAGGCCAGCCTGGTCTACAAAGCAAGTTCCAGGAATAAAGAAGAAATGCACATATATTTGAACGTGTAGAGCAGAGAGTATAAAGGACTTAATGGTAAATAGCACGAGAGATACCACTGGGGAAAGAAAACATCCTGAAATAATATGCTGATTACACAACTTGACAGATTACTAAAATGTGGATCCAAATACTCAGAAGAGATGGACTGTGTGCTATGTGCAATACACACACACACACACTAAGAACCCAGAAACACTGTAGGTTTGGCATTCTATCTTTTACTGTAGTACTGTGCAGTGAAAAGTGTTCTCTGGATGCTTCCTGGCTTCTGAATGTCACATAAGCATCCTTTTGCCCTTCTGCAAAACAATAGCTTCCACTCACACATACTGAAGCACAGCAGAGAACATTCTCCCTTGACACCTGTCACTCTAAAACTCATGTCAGCAGACACAGCACCTTCCCTAACTCTTCTTCATGACCTGTATTTTACTGACAGTGATGGGTGACACGGAGCCAACGCTTTCCCTTTGGCTGAATCAAGCTAAGCAAGAATGGCGGTAGCATCAACAATGTTCCTACATTAAAACATTTTGTGTGACGGGGCAGTGGTGACACACGCCTTTAATTCCAGCACTCAGGAGGCAGAGGCAGGCGGATCTCTGAGAGTTTGAGACCAGCCTGGTCTACAAGAGCTAGTTCCAGGACAGGCTCCAAAGCTACAGAGAAACCCTGTCTCGAAAAACCTTTTACGCGTCAAGGGAGGAGAGGAAGTGATAAAAACAGATGAAAACTATGGGAACATTATTCCCATCCGCCTCCACACACTCAGTCAGTGCTGAGAGCTTGCATGGCTTACTGGGAACCTCCAGAAGTCCATCTCTGCTTACCTGAGCAGTTGTGCTCCGTCCACTCTGGCTGTCTCTCATCCTCAGCTCTGTGTACAGATACCAGATGTAACTGACGGTGCAGAAGAGTGAGGCAATGAATAGTATCTAGGTGAAAGTCAAGACAGCCCATCAAATTTCCTCCATTATTCTCAAGATGAGATCTAGCTTACCTAAACCACCCATCTTCATCCTACCCTTTGGACTGTTCAGACCACAGATATCCACCTCCTCTACCTAACTGATCCACTTTTCTGAATATTTTTCTATTATATTTCTAATTTATCATCATCATCATCGTGTGTGTGTGTATGTGCATCACAGCTCATATGTGGTCAGAGGACAGCTGTGGGTTAGGTTCTCTCCCTCCCCCTTGACTTGGGTTCTAGGGATGGAACTACTCAGGTCACCAGGTTTATGTGGAAAATGCTTTCACCTTCTGAACCATTTCATGGGCTCTGTGCTCTTTTTGAAATCGAAAAGGTAGTTAGAATTTCAACTTTCAATAATAGTTAATATATTATTCCTTTTTCATTACTGTAACAAAAGATTAGAGGCAGGTTACTTTTGAGAGAAAGGGTATTGGCTCAAAGTTCTGGAGGTACAGGGTTTAGGGGTCTCATCTTGTGATGCTGTCTTGATGTTAGAATCCTGGGGTGGTGTTGATTCCCTCAGCAGAGGATGAAGAACATGCATGCTCATCTGTCCCTGTGTGTCTTTCATGATAAAGCCCCCAGAACCAACTCATGTGCTTTTAATAGTCTTACAGTTCTCATCATCGCCTGAAGATCCCCCTACTAAACAGAAGAGTAAGTCTCCAACCTTCCAATGCCATAGTTATGAATGTATGTATGTAACATGGAAAAGTCAGTGTCTATGCGTGTGTTCACACATACATATCTGCAAGATTTGAGTAATTAAAACTCTACACAAATTTGATGTGGACAAAATGTATTCAAGACACAGAAATGGCCTATGTTATTTTAACTAAACCTTTCATTCAAAACTTGGACTACACAGGCAAGATCATTTTAAAAAGAAAAAAGGGACCTCAGGTATCCCATTCTGGACTTGAACTTGCTATGTAATCAAAAATGGTCCTTTATTTGGTTTTCTTTTTTTTTTAATATTTTTTCTTGCAGGCCAGAAGAGGGCACCAGACCTCATTACAGATGGTTGTGAGCCACCATGTGGTTGCTGGGAATTGAACTCAGGACCTTTGGAAGAGCAGGCAATGCTCTTAACCACTGAGCCATCTCTCCAGCCCCTTTATTTGGTTTTCTTGAGGAAGGGTATCTCTATGTAGTTCTGGCTGTTCTAAAGCTCACTATATAGACCAGGTAGGCCTCTTGATTTCACACAGATCCTCCTGCCTCTGCCTCTTAAGGGCTGGGATTAAAGATGTGGCTACCACATCTTTAATGATATTCAAAAATGATCTTAAAACTCTTGATTCTCTTGTCTCCACCTCTCAGGTTTATGGAGTGTTGTGACTGAAGCCAGGGCATCAGACATACAAAAGCAAGTGTTCTATCAATTGATGCATCCCCAGCACTGATGTTTAAAAGAGCTTTCAGAGAAGCAGGTGCTAGACATGCTCACCAGGGAAAGTATTTACTGCCAACCCTGGTACTGGAGCTGAATTTGATCCACAGGACCCATAAAGCAGAGAGAATAGATTCTTGAAATTGTTCTATTATCTCTACACACACACACACACACACACACACACACACACACACACACATAACACACACAATCTGTGTGGCTGTGGCTTACTGGCTAAAGTTCTGACCAGCATCTGTCTCCAGTGGCTCTATGTTGTCTCTGTGACTCTGCCATTCTTTCTCTTAGCATTCAGTCCAGTCCTCCTCACCTACCTAAGTTCTGCCCTATCAACAGGCCAAGAAAGTTTCTTTATTCACTAATGGTAATCACAGCACACAGAAGGGACTACCACATCACTTCCCCTTTTCTGTTTAAATAAAAAGAAAGGCTTTAACTTTAACATAGTAAAATTACATATAACAAAACAGTTATCAAGCAAGAATTACAGTTACAATATTCATATCTACTTTATCTGTTGTCATAACTAAGGAAAACTATAACTTCTTCAACGTCATCAAAGACTCCAGAAGGGCATAATATTACCTAAGTAAACTGAAAGTACATTGTAAGCAACTTCCAAAACTCTAGAATTGACAGAGACATCTCGCTGCCTGGACAGTCACCCAAAGTTCTTTTGTAACATTGGGGCATCCATCTTCAGCCTAGAGGCCTCTAGTATCCAGCAGACTTTTTCACGAAGCAGGAAATTTCAAAGACAGTTCCACCTATACTGGCAGTTTGTTTGTCACATTTTTCTGTGTCCTGCAGAATATCTAGCAGACTCTTTCATGAAGCAGGAACCCCAAAGGATCATCTCACCTTTAGGAAAGTTTAGCAGTCATTTCTCTGTGGGTCTTGCATGTACAGTTAAGCAGTTCAGGCAAGAGAAGTTTCTTGCCCAAATGGCTAAGAAGCCTCTTTGATGCCCATCTTCCTCTAGAAGTAATTGGTACTGCCAGGAGCAGACGTGTCTCATTGTCATGAAAAGTCCTAATTTATTAAAATATTTTAAATGCCATATTCTGAAAGTCTCTGAATTATTTGAAGAATACCTATTTAACTGAAATGCATCTCTATACATCTAGAAAATCTAACTAACATGAATATAAGCTTGACTATTATAGATGATTATCTATTNTTTTGGTTTTTCGAGACAGGGTTTCTCTGTGGCTTTGGAGCCTGTCCTGGAACTAGCTCTGTAGACCAGGCTGGTCTCGAACTCACAGAGATCCGCCAGCCTCTGCCTCCCGAGTGCTGGGATTAAAGGCGTGCGCCACTATAGCCCGGCTTATACCTTACATTTTTAAATGAGCTACACAAACACAATACCTTAATCAAGAACAGAAATACATATACAAATAACAAAATTGACCTTAAATAATAATCAATAAACCAAGATCCATACCAATGCAAATTATTCATATCATATCTCCCTTTAATGTAAACAAACATTTATAGACAATATGGGAATATGGGCATAATTTTTTTCTCTCCAAACTGCTTCCTGCTGTTTTTTGGGCAAAGTAATTTTTTGAGGGCATTTTTGAAGTGTTCATGGCAACCTTTTAGGGCATCTTGGTCCATCAAACCATATTAGCCTGGAATGAATCCACAGGTTCTCATCCTCTGTGGAGACAAAAGAAAAACCTCTTTTCCAAAGCACCATATCCTTAGACCCAAATTCTTAAGTCAAGATACCTTTATAATCCACATTCTGGTTTAGCTTAGCAGCCCATACAATGAAATGTCACTCTGTACTTGGCTCCTTCACAGTCAAAAATTTCAAAGAAAACACAATATACATAATCCAGACTCTCTGTGTATAGTCCATCTTTACGTGGCTTATTTTTCTTTACTCCCTTTAATCTATGACAGTCTTTACTCTGTCTCTGTCTCTCTCTCTCTTTGGTTTTTCGAGACAGGGTTTCTCTGTGGCTTTGGTTCCTGTCCTGGAACTAGCTCTTGTAGACCAGGCTGGTCTCGAACCCACAGAGATCCGCCTGCCTCTGCCTCCCAAGTGCTGGGATTAAAGGCATGTACCACCACCACCCGGCTTGTACTCGGTCTCTTTAAAGACTTTTTTCTTTATGGTACCTGGAGGGACAGCTGTGGGGGCTTATATTTTTGGTTGAGTCTCGCCTTTAATGGCTGAGCCACCCCTCCAGGCCTAAAGACTTTTTTTTAAAACAATTTACTTCTTTCCAACTCTCTGTACTTTTTCTTCTCTCTCCCAAACCTATGTACATCTATACAACATTTTTTAATCTGGATTTTTCTTTATTGCATATCTATAATTATTTACTGTCCAGGAGTGCTTTTTATAATGCTAAGCACTTCTTAAAACTTAAGCTGTGCCATTACTATGACATATACGGTACTTCCTGCTTGCTCAGCACAGTCCAGCATGGCAGAGCTGCTCACCACCTCTGAGACATGCACAGTGCCCCATCTCTAGGCACACAGCCTGTCCATGCCGTTATTAAGAAAGCTGCAGCAGTCTGCTCACAAGCCCCACTCAAATGCTCCATCTCCCGAAAGAGCCAGGGTGGCGCTGGCAGCAAAGCCCAGAAAGCTGGCATTTTAAAATGGCTGTGGCTTTTTTCCTGCTATGACTGAATCAGGAAAATCTCTCTTAAAGGAGCTGCGGCATGCTGCCAGCAAACAGCAAGAAGCTGTGTTAAACTCTGTATTTTTGTGTCCAGAATTCCTTTTCAAACTCTCTCAGGTTTTAAGTGGATTTAGCTGGCCATGTGAGCTTTGGTTCTGTTCCCAGCACCTGCAGCAGACTACTCAAAACTGCCTGTAGCTCCAGCTCTAAGGAGATCTGATACCCTCTTCTGGACTGCATAAGCACCCTCATGCATGTGTACATAGACACATATTCATAAATAAAATAAAATGAATAGTTTTCCTTTAAAGGAACCAAAGAGCTAACTCATACAATAAAAAAGAAACCACATAATATCATGTAAGGGATGAATTCCTGCTCCTACAGAGTTAAGGTAACAGGATTTACTCTTCATCCTCATGTAAGCAAAAGCTGGAGCTGGGCAGACAGTTCACTGTATGAAGCACTTACCACACCAATGAGGGAAATTCAAATCCCCAGCACCCACAGATAAAAGTCAGGCATAGGCCAGAAAGATGGCTCAGCAGACAGAGGCATTGGTTGCCAAGCTTGAAAATCTGAGTTCAATCCTTGAATCCTTGGGATTCTCCCTCCTGCCCCCATCTCTTATTCACACACACACTATATATATATAATTGTGCATATATATTTATAGAATTATATAAATATATTTATAATTGTATAAATAGAAGTATTTTTGTATATAGTTATATATTACATATGAATATATTGTATATGTTTATAATTATATATACATTATTTTATATATATACAATTAAAAAAAGAAGTCAGACTCTGCTGCATGTGTTTGTGCTTCCAACACTGGAGGGCAAGGACAGGTGAATCCTAGAACCTTATTGGCCAGTCTGCC